TGCTACCCATACACTGACCTGGACCTGGCAACAGATGAGTCTGGTGTCTGGGTGGTCTACACCACCACTCAGGACTTTGGCAACTTGGTTCTCTCCAAGCTAGAGGAGGGTGAACCACCAACACTTAGGCGTACCTGGCGCACTTCAGTCTATAAGCGGGCAGTGACCAACACCTTCATGGCGTGTGGCGTTCTCTATGCGACACGTTACATTAACAGGGAGGTCGAGGAGATCTTTTACTCATTCAACACCGTGACGGGACAGGAGAAGTTCAACATTGGCATCTTCATGAACAAGATGTCTCCCAACATTCAAAGCCTAAACTACAGCCCTGTGGACCAGATGCTGCATGCTTACTGTGACTCCAACATGGTTTCCTACAAGGTGTTGTTTGGATAAACTGATGTTGTTGTTTCATTTCTGCAAAATTGATTGATCTCTATAAAAGTCTGAATTCAAAACAGTTTTTCCTCAAGATGTTTCATGTTTAATGCATCACATTTCATAAACAATGTATTTCTCCATTAATCTAATTCTACCATTGTAAATAAAAGGTTCATCTTTGCTTTGTACTCTCTTTATTCAATAAAATCAATAATTTCCAGTGTAGTGGTTTTAATGTTCAGGATCAGTCTAACTATGTTATTATATCTTTTTTTATGTAAACATACAAATGTCATATTCTCATAAAAGTCACAAGATTGTTGTTCTGACATTTGTGGAGAAATCCTTGCAGTGACATTAGAGTAGCAGTTATCTAAATAAGTAAATTAAATTCAAACAGATTACCAACTGTACCAGTGTAAAACTCTAAGTACTGGCTCTTTCCATGTGTGACATAAAAATCCTCTTTTTCTGAATGCAGAAAACTAATCTATGATTAATTTTACAGACAATTGTTTTTGAAATGGCCACATGAATAAAAACATTCTTACTTCCTAATGGTATCTACCATTTACATTGTTCATGGAGATATTTGTGAAATATTCTCCAGCATTTACACTGACTAACCTTAACATTGTGTAACATTTAAAAATTATCAATTATTAATGATTTCATTAATATTTGCTAATACCCAAAACCCTAAATTTGAAATAGGGTTTAACTACTCATTTACATAATTTCTACAACACCAAACCCTACATTTGAATTCAGTTCAGTTTTATTTATATAGCACCAAATCACAACAACAGTTCCCTCAAGGCATTTTATATTGTAAAGTAAAAACCCTGTAATAATATGAAAACACCTGAGAAACCCCAACAATCATATCGCTCCCATGAGCAGGTGATTTGGCGACAGTGGAAAGGAAAAACTCATTTTTAACAGGAAGGAAC